ATACATTAGGAACAGATTCGCAAGTGGAAAATATACGGATATTTGGAGTTCTTCAACGATTCGGAGTTACTTATTTAGTCGTTAGCCTAGTGTATCTCTGCTTTCCATCCCAACAATCAAAAATTCTTCGGGTATGAAAATATTAAACATTTTTGTAAACCTCATAATATAAATATATTATATTATATTATATTATATATTATATTATATATTATATAAATATATTATATTATATAGATATGTCATGTTCTTTGAATGCTGTGATATTCTTTTTTCGCATCTATATGCGATATCGGATATGAAATATTGGAACAAAACTTATATTAAATAATTATCTATGAAAAGCTATAACGAAATTTTGGTTCTTGTTGAAATAACATGTGTCTATATTTTAACAGATATTTTTTATACCTTATCAATAATAACAATATAATATATATAATTTTTAACTCATAAAAACTATAATGTATAATTTGACAATGTGCGAATCACAGATAGTAACATAAATTCTTTGTGTACTTACAGAACACATCGCCGACTTGGATAATGCGGAAAATGCAAGATATATTAAGTCTTTTGCCACACTGGTTTGTAATGCTGATTTTCGTAATTGTACATTGCGCTTTGACGTTTTGTCTTCCAGTTCCTGGATGTCCCACGTATGTACCTTAACTTCGGTTTCTCTAATTTTTTAATGCTATTATTTATTATGTAAGTGAGTCTTATATTGATCTTATTTATAGTGGATATCTTGGACCGGGTGGAATGCATGAAGATGGTAAATATTTTAACTGTACTGGAGGTGCAACTGGATATATTGATAAAACTGTACTGACTTTAAACCATATTTATCAATATCCAACTATTAAATCTGTTTATGGATCCGGTCCTTTTGATCCCGAAGGAATTTTAGGTAACTTTTGTTGTTTATCATTACAGTTATAAACATAATTATTAAAATATGTATTATGTATTTAATAAAACACATAATAGAATATTTTCTGGAATCATTAAATATTTTTTTAATGATAGGTATTTTAGTCAATAAAATCAATCTTTTTTTTGTAGCAAAAGATCATAATTTGTTGCAGTTTTGTATTTTATCCTTCACATTAAAGAAAATTTAATTTTTAACTAATTAAATCTATCGTGAAAAGCACATCGCCATAATTTTGAAACACTTTTTGTGTTTCTAAAATATGTTTGATATATTTTCATAATCTCATGATATTTAAGCTTGTGGAAAGCGATAACTGAGCTTATGTTTATAAAGAAATAAATGTTATTGTTAGTTTACATCCGCGCATCTATACCACATTCGCTGTTATTTTAAGCTAAATAATCTCTTAAGATACTAATATGGCTCTGTGATTTTTTTATGACATCTTAAGAATATTATAATAACCAATCACAGGACTATATTAACGTAAGAACAAACTTTATGAATACCAATCTTTAAGCTTGATAGAAATGATGCCATGTATTACAAAATTTATTGTAAAAAATCACTGTTAACTGAATTGTATTTTAAGATCGATAATTTAATCGGCGCGTGATTTGTATAGAATTAGATAGGTATATAGTATATAAATTTACTCTGAAATATTATTATGTACGATGTACAAAGCTTTAGCTCGAACCAAAAAATCATTTCGCTTCTTAGTTTTAATATATTGTTTATAATATATTTTAATATATTGATGTATAATGTCATTATTGTTTATTGTTTTTATAAATATTAAAAAAAGAAGTATTTCAAAATTTTTTAGACTGTTCTTATTTCAAAATTAAAAAAGTAAAATGGAAAATTTTAGCGCGAAACTGCTACTTTTTAAGTTACGGTAACCATAATAAGTTACTTTTGAGAATCAGTAACTAATAACAGTTATAATTAATTACTATTTTAATTCAATAACAAGTAAGAATAACTAGTCGCTTTTAAAAAGTAACTTTTTCTGTATGTTTTTCTAGGATGTCTTACAGCGATATTTCAAGTATTTCTAGGTGTACATGCTGGTACAATTCTAATGTTATATAAAGACTGGAAGGATCGTGTTATGAGATGGCTTTTGTGGGCAGTGTTTTATGCTTGTCTGGGTTGCGCCTTTCATTTCACTAACACTATACCTGTTAATAAAAATTTGTGGTAAAGTATTAAAATCCATTCTATTATATATATTGTATAATAAAATTTAGTTCTGTTATTTATTACTACAAATAGCATTTTGCACAATTTTATTTTAATACAAAATTATAAAAATGATGATAATACTAATTTCTCTGTGAATCGATATAATTACGCAGGTCTTTGTCATTTGTATTCGTTACTACTTCTTTTTCTCTGGCTTTTCTTTCTGGTTGTTATTTGCTGATCGATGTTGCTCAAGTTTGGCGAGGTGGCCCTTTCAGAATCCCCGGTGAGTAGCCATACGTTTTGTTTAATTTACTCTAAAACTTTGCCGTTAAACGTATTGATAAAAATACGCAGATAAAATAATCCAAAGGCATGAAATTATGAAATAGAGGTTTCAAAATATTAGACAAAATTAGACAAAAAGTTTTTCTATGTCAATTAAAATAAATCACATTTAATTTTCTATTTAATTATAAAATCAGTTTTTAAATGTATTATGTTAGCGGCAAATTAAGTATAGAATTTAGAGTTACAATATTATAAAAAAAGAATGTGTTTTTTATTCTAATTTTTAATATTTTTATTATGTTTTTCATAATCCAATTAATTCAGGCATGAATGCACTGCTGTTATATGTGGGTCATAGCGTGTGTTATGAAATCTTTCCATTCCATTGGAGGATCGGCGCCATGGACAGTCGTGCGCTATGTTTAATTGAATCAATTTGGGTAGTAATCCTTTGGGCTATTATAGCATATATTATGCATCGTAAACGAACATACATCACACTCTAAATATATCTGTTTATAGCACATTATTACACACATTATATTTTCAATTTAATTCACGTATAAACAGACTGTTATGTTTGTATTTATGAAATTAATAATTACATATGAAATAAATGAAATTAATTATAAGAAATTATGTGAGAATATAATTTAAAATTACATACAAAAAAAAAATATATATATATATAATGTAGAAACTTGTTTACAATAAAGTGCAGCTTTTAAATTTAATTAATAATATATTATTATATAATATACGTATATACGTTTTATATATGAAACTATAGGCCACGTTGCGTTCTTGGGAATAAACAAGAAGATATTTATTAGCATTATCAATATTATAAATAATTTATTTTACAACTTGGATGAGTAATACAGTGATAGCTTCAGGTAACAAGATTAACAATATATGTATACATATGTACGTTTACACATATATTTTTAAAAATTATGATTAATATTTTTAAAAAGAGTGTTATTACAATTTCTGTGATGATCCATTCATCTTAAATAAACAAACCACGTGCTCGTGTTCACATAATATAACATACATATTGCGACGTGTCGACGTAGCCAATCTACTATAATAAGCCGTTAACATTTTTTTTTCTTAGAAAATTGATTAAGAAATTTTGAAAATTAATATAACTCATTAATAACTCATAATTAATTGAAATTTCAAAAACGAGTTTAAGTTAAATATTTGAAAAAATATTATACAAGATACAAATATGTATTCAATATATATAATAATAACTAAAAACAGAATCTATTATATTTTCATATATTTCGAAAAAAATTATATATGACGCAAAATTCTATTTTAATTCTATTTTATTCGATATTGAAATAATTTATATTAGTGACTTACAGCCCACTTTGAAGAAAGCCTTTGATTTTTATCGATGGATCAGCAAACGGCGACGTAAGTACTATGGATTATTGTAAACAAAATAGAAAAAAGCGCACTAAACAATTCGACTTTGCCTAAGCAGAATTTCACCAATCATTTCTCAGTAATCAGTTGCATCAGGACCTGAAAAATAAGGAATTATATTTTTTAAGAGCAATCTTTATATTGTCAATTTACGAAAAAAAAACAAAATACATATTAAAAACTATATACATATTGTGCATAATTATGTACAGTTTATTTAAATTAAATTTAAGAATTTAAGAATTTTGTATGTGTGGTTTGTGCGTGTATGATGTGTATATGTAAATAAGTGAGTGTACATGTGTATGTGTATATGCATATATATATATATATATATATATATACACATATATACAATATACACATATATACATATATAATTCGGTTATATCACAATTTTTTCGTCCGCTACTCTTTTCTTTCTCTTATAATTTCTTTACTTTGTACATTCACATAAAATTTAATATAAGACAACTGCAAAAGTTATTGTATTTGGTATACGTCAAACTGTCGAATAATTTCTTCCGTCACACTGTTTATCCGTTTCTCGAATATTTTAGACTCAAATAATTTTATTTGTGTTTCTTTATCAGTATTAGTTACAACATGCATAAAGCAATCAAGCGTTGATAATCTAACTTTCTGCGAAATACAAAAACAGAAGAGAGAGATACAGAAAGAGAAAATAAGAGAAAAATAATAAGGGAAAAGATTACATGCGTCTATAATCGAGAAATAAGGAATACAAAAAAAAAATAAAATAATCAAATCTCCGTATTCTTAACACTTTTTACATTTTTTTCTCTCTTCTTTTCTCCGCGCGCCTATAACTTCATATTTCTCACATAAAATATGTGATTATACACAGAATAAAAAAACCTCAAGTAAAAAACGAAAAGTACGCATATACAATATATCAATAACTATTTTTATTCTATGCATATTATATATTATTGAAGTAAGAATAGGTTTAAAAAGAAGTGTTAAAAATAGGATGATTGATCGCGAAATGTTACAAATATAGAGGTTCAACTATAATAAATGATAAAAACGAAAGAAAGGAAAGTGGGAAACCTGGAGAAGAAATCAAGAATGATACACGAATATATGGAAACGATATGTACCGATAGAAAAAAAAATCACGTAGCCCGTAGAGCACCTTGGGCATGCTCAGCCCTGTCTTGTGAAGAGAATCAAGAAAAAAATATGTCCGTGGATCGTGGAGAGCGGTTGCTCGCAGCGGCAAACACACCGGCCTCATTCTGCCTTAGGGCCATCAGCAATAGTTGGTTTAGTATTCGCATAAGGACATCGGGATAGGAGGAATCACCGACGAATGTCGTTAGTTCTGGTCGATTTGCTGTGCCAGCAGGGCTTGCGGCACGCTTTTCGTACTCTTGATTCTCGGACACAGTACGTTCACCTTGTAGGTCCAAAAGGGCGTCTTACTGTTGAGGATCTTGAAAGCTAGAGAAGGCATAACATCGTGCTCCTGTGGGTTAGGTAATTTCGTGTTTTTCCAAATTGAAAAATACGAATTATCCTTTGAAGGAATCTCCGGCTGGTACGCCGGATGGTAGACCTTACAGTCTGATAAATTCATGATATTTCCATTCATTGCTGTGTCGTGAAATTTTCGACAAGATTGCTCGTGAATAGGTGAATATTCCGGAGATGTTAAACCGCTGGAATAGTTGGAGCAATAACTGTCATCATAGTTGAACGCGTTTGTCTTAAGCGGTAAACTGAGATATTCCTTTCTGCATGGATCTGTTCTGGTACAGTCAGATAAAATGGAATCGTCGTTCAGAAGCCGAAAGAGTCGTGAATGCGTTTGAGTTCGTTGATACTTCTTTTGCTTCTTCGTAATGGCAGACTCCGAATCTGTGTCGATCTCACGACACTCTGTGTCGATCTCAGATATCATTCGACTTGTATCAGAAGTAACTCCACTGTCCTCGTCATCGGTATCCTCATGAGAATCTTGGATACTCAACAAGTATTTCATATCTGTCTGACAGAGACCTTTCTGTCTGTCAGGATCGACACATCGATCATCGTCGACTATTACGCAACAATCCTTCTGATTTGTTTGATCTGCATCGACAGTTTGAAGTGTTTCAAAATTTTGCATCCAGGAACTTTCGGACGCAAGCTTCGACTCAATAATCGTCTTGTCAACGTCAGTGGATCCGAAATTATTACAAGCAGATTCTACTTGGCTATAATTTTCATCGTTTACTGATCCCTCCCTAATGATTTCCCTGTCTATTTCAGAAGCGGTACAATCATCGACATTCTTCGGCGCTGATTCCACGACGTTTATTCCGTTACATTCTGTTTTTGTAACTGGGAATTCCGCCTCCGTGTTCTGTTCTTTGCAGTTAATTCCGCTAACGTTCGTTGAATCTTTCTTGAAAGTGAAATCCACATGCGGTACCGTTGTCTCGATACTCGCTTCATTTTTCATGCTTTCTGCTGCGCCTGTCGTATCTGACATGTGTCTCTTCACGGTAAAATTCACGCTGGTATCATTACTAATATGAAAATTTGCGCTAACATCGTCATCCGTATCATTTTTAGCGGAACATTCATTACAAGATCTCTCTGCCTTTATTTTACTGTTGCCGACTGTTACAGTGGTGATGTCTTCATTGTCCTCGGACACGAAAAATTTGAATTTTAGAGGCAAACTCACGCTAACCATTGTAGCTTCGGCATCATCGGACTGATCATCGGTCACTTCGAAAGAAGCATCATTCTGTTCATCGATCTTCTTCTTACTTTCGCAATAAAGACTCTCAGAACTCAACCGTTCTACATCTTCGTAAATTATGCCCAACTGATGGGAAACGACGTTATCAGTTATTAGGCTCTCTTGATCACATTGCTCCGTATTCGATACGCGACTACTTACAGAATTCATCTTAGACTCTTCTAGACTAGAAGAGTCGAGATTGCTTTGATTATTCATGTCACCCTCTTCGTTATATCCCTTCGACTTTGACGTAAAATCCTGCTTTAACGTTGTGCAAGAATTTCGTTCGTTTGAATAGTCGTTTTTTTTTAAAAGTGCCTTGTCACCGTGAGTATTATTTTCGGAATTGCTTTGCGAATGTCTACATGAATTATCGACATTCGAGCATTCCGAATAAGCAGTGGGATCGGTATAATTCTCACTGGAAGAAACATTACGCGGATTTCTCTTCAATTTCTCGTAAGGATTTATACCTATTGAGTAACCTTCGTATGAATCCGAATCACTATTAGACAATGTATTATTGGAAGTAGTATCATTACAATATTTCTGGCAGGAATCCGAAAAATGCTCGTTATCGGAGACAGAATCGCTAGAATCACTAGAATCATTGGAATCACTGCAATCGCTAGAATCACTAGAATCGCTAGTGTCTATGTATGTGTAATTAGGCACATTGATATGCAGACCAAATGTTTTCTTCGATTTTTCAATGTTATTAGAGATCATAATTTTGTTGGGATCATCTGACGTATCATCTTCCTCATCAACTATGTTCATCGCCGTCTTAATACCATTTTTATCATCATTGTAATTCTCGCAGACATTTTTGGGATTATGTGTCCCGTTCGATTGTGCATCCAAGTGATTAATTCCCAAATCGTTGGGCAAGGTGTTTCCTGATTTATTGATCGAACTGTCTTGCACAAAGTAACTATCGTCCTGAGCAGGAGATGAATGAACACTGGCATAATAATTGTGAACGTAGTTACAGTTATTTTCGTCAACGTGCGATTGGACATCATTGTAACCTGCTTGAGGGCAAATTACAGCAACGTAACCGTACTGGTCTGAAGAATTTTCTTGGTTGTTTATTCGTGCCACGTCCGCAAAGTTTTCGTCATAAACCGGATAAAAAAATTTATATCCAACGCACGCATTTTCATCTGGATATTGTAAGTAAGGAAAGGAACGCTCGTCCGCTTCGTTTGCGGACTTATTGGGTGGAGCATTATATTGCACAGGATAATAGCCCCACCAACCTTCGGAATGCGACCAGAAGGAAACGGGTCGAGGAGAGAAGAATGCATCTTGCTGATTGCCCGGCAAGTTATTCTCTGTTCGACAGGTGTAATCTGCTTGACGATTTTCTTGTGTAGCTACAACAAACAGCACAATCCATTCAAAAAAAGTTAAATTCTGTACAGAGCGTAAGACAGAGCCGTGCGTGTCGTCTTTATTTTTCTGCCTGAAATTTCCTTCTCTTAATCACACGTCGCATTATGTACTGCACGATCTACGAAACGAGTTTAGAAATAGAAAAATTGTCTATATCGAAAGTACGTCTAAGTTTATCCGCGCTTTCAGTTTTATTTCGCTTTCCCTTTTTCCTTATACCATTATGCCTAGTTGATTTTATTTCGGTAAAGTTGGTATATTAATACGGAATAAAGCGAAATTATTCGGCTGAGAAATGAGAAAACTTACACATCCTGTGTTCAAAGGAGAAAATATTAAATATTATACAATCAATATTATACAAATGTAATATATCATACAATCTGGTTAAATGTCATAATAAATCATCGTGATAAATTTCAACATTTAATTGTAATTGTATTCATGGGAAAGAATATATGCTTGAAAATACAAATGAAATTATATTTTAATATTTTTAACAAAATAGTGTATATATCAAGTAAATCATGGCTAATAACTGTTGATATGAGAAGTAGTTTTCTCTTATATGCCATTGTAATAATAAATGACAACATTATATTAAAAAATGGCATTATTAAGAAAACGTTATCTTAATGATTCGATAATTATTATTGAGCCTTATATTTCGATAAATATCTTTTTTATGGGCAAAAGTTGAGTAAAATTATTTCACAGATTAACTGTCAATCAACATCATCGGCATTGTAATCTATATGAAAAGAATCAGGTAATATAATAAGACTTCATACAAATTCCTCTTGCCATACGCAAACAGTAAAGATAATTTTATAACTATATATTATAATCATAAATAAAATTATTTATAAAAAGATTTGCAGTGAAGAAGCCATTGTACTACATCGCATATAATGCCTGTATCCTTGACAGCATAATTTATTTCAACATTAATTTAATATTAATACGTTTCTCAACATTTAATCAATGTATCGCTAATAAATTGCTTTAGGAAAATAATAAATCTTACACCTAATATTTTTTACAATTTTAAGCTTAGTATCTTTTTCAACATTGTAATGTGACAGAACATTTTCGAAGCTAAAATTATTACTTTTTTTATATCTATTTAGAATATCTATTATTTAAAATTGCTATATCATTTTCTCTCAATTTCAATTTCTTTAAAAAGTTTTTAAAAAATCAATTATAATTATAAGTACATTTAAAAGACCTTTGAAAAAGTAACGGTATTTATCATATATTTTCTTATCACTTTCTCAGATAATAATTAGTCTGTGTAACACTTTGTTTTGTCTCACTTCTGTGTGTTGTATGTGCGTGCGTGCGTGCGTGCGTGCGTGCCGTGCCGTGCTTGCGTGCGTACGTGCGTGCGTGTATGTTGTGTAAATAAATATATATATATATATGTATGTATGTATAATATATCCTTATATATATATATATATATATATATATATATGTATATATATAGCCAAGAAAATGTTATTATTCCTGTGAACACAGGATTGGGAAATTTGAGCGTTGTGACGTATGTTATATCAATAAAGTAGTCATTAGAATATAAAGCACTTATTACGATATATTAATGTACACATATAAATAAGCTTCTACAATTAATTTATAAACAAGGAATGTGTATGTCAGAATAAATTATTAATTTGTATATTTATGTTAAGTATCACGTAAGAAAATTATGAAATAATTCAAAATACTTTCCCAAAATTGAAACTTTAAATTTCTTGTACGTAAAAAAATGTGGAAAAAAAACTGAGATATTCGTAATATCTTTAAAAATATCCTTTCAGCAAGATAAATTTTGTAAAAATATTTGAATCAAATATATTTACCATTATTTTCTGATGCTGTCATTGCTTGTAATATCCTGAAGGATCGAGAAGGAATTGCACTACCCGTGTATTTCTTCGGTTCTTGTACTTGTTGTTCACTAGGTGGCAAATTTGCTTGTGTCTCTTCTGTATGAAAATGATCACAATTCAAATTTATTATATTTCAGTTATTTTAATAAAATTAAAAAAAAACAAAATTTATTTTTGCAGTTACACATACTTACCAAACGACTTAGAATTTCTGTTTTGCCGCTTATTTGCAACATTTTGTGGTACTGTAACATATAAAATTAGAATTATTATATTGTTTATATTTGTAATATCTAATCTTTATTGTTTGAACTAAAGAGATTTGATTGATTTAAAAAACAAGAGGTTACAATGTATATACAATAGTATTATATTTTTAATGAACTTCAACATTAATAAAAGTTTTTAGATAAAAATGTAAAACAATTTTACCAGCACAAGTTACTGAAGCATCATTCGAATCTGTCATATTTTGTAAAAAACGGAAAGCTCGTGAAGGTATTGCCGCACCACGATATCTTGGATCTTTCTCTTGATGAAGATAAATCTCTTGGTCGACTGTAAAATATAATAAAAAAATAGAATATTTACATTTCAAGTTTTCAAACGATATAGTTTAATTTAAAAAGTTAAATCAATTAGTCTTCAAAAACCGTATTAAAAATAATTTACATCATATTATATTGATAATAATTAATATAAATGTATAATTTGAAAAATATATTTCTATATACACATTATAAATTGATGTAACAAAAAATTATATAATAGACACATAAATAATATTATTCTACCTTGCTCTTTAAATTTATTCATGAGTAGTTTTTCATCTTCACTTAATTCCATTTTACGTATTTGTTCTGTACCAACATCGTTTAATTCGTCTGTGTCCGTTATTTTTTGAAGGACACGAAATGATCGCGACTGAATCGGACCAGGCTCGCATTGCTGATTAAGGTCGAGACTCCGCTGTTGCACACTGTCAAGAATTTTATTTATAATTAATAATTAAAATAAAATTGCAAACGTTATAAATAACTAACAAATTTGTTAAAAATTTTTTGAAACACAATCTATTTAAAATTACTTTTTAGATAACTTTAATATATGATTAATTGTATGTTAACAAAGTTCAGTCATTTATTATCAAAATACAAATTATAACCACTACTTATTAATTAAAAAAATGTATATTACTTAAATATTACTTACATATTACTCATATAACTTAAATACATATTAATTTATATAAATTTAATTACATTTTAATTTAATTTACTTTAATTTATATGGTCTTCAACTTACACTCTTGCTGGTTTTCCAATCTTAATATTATTTTCCGTAGTTGGCATATTTCTTTTCTCGCTACTTTCCACTACGAGAGGAATAATATAAGTCGTTCCAGTCGATTCTGGCCGAGATGTGACATGAATTTGAGACTGCTTTTGATTTTGCGGATGATTTTGCGGCTGATTCTCAAATGTATGTTGTGCAGGTACTTGACCCCATCGTTGCTGATGATGCACAGTTGGAGGCTGTTTGGTAAATTGATGATGACCAGAATCACGCTTCACATCAAATACCGATGGTCTATCTTCGATCTAAAGAATATCATAATGTTAAAAAAATTAAAATGATATATTTTAAGGACTAGCAAGAAATTAATTTACCAACTTACTCGGATAGGTACAACTCGTTCATGCGATTGCGAATTCGTTTGTTGTGACGTTACAGAATTGATATTCTGCCTTTGCTGCTGTTGCTGCGGCTGCTGCTGCTGCGGCTGCTGCTGCTGCGGCTGTTGAGATAATTGTTGCGGTTTTGTTTGTTGACACTGCGGAATCGAATATTGTTTTTGCTCTTGCTTTTGTTTCGCTTGTGAACATTGCGGAGATGCTTGTTGGACTTGAACATAAATCGGAGAAACTGAATTCTCCGACGAGTCGCTGCCAACTGTTTTATTCACATTCGTTCGTTTAGCCCATTCAGGCAATTCTTCCTGGGGCTTATTTTTATTCTGCATCCAAGGTGTAGGAGCCTTGGCTAAAGTGATTTGAGTAGGAGTACTCGGACTTTCAGGAGTGCTCGACTGACTTGACGTGACTGTAATCGGTATTTTAGTATCCACCTTTGTAATATTTCTTGCTGGTTGTTCAGCTTGTTTGTCTACAGCTATAACAAAAATTGAAATGTTTCTTATTTCCGTTATAATTTCACCAAATAAGTATCATCAATCATTTATAACTCAAAACTGATCATGATTTTAACATATCTGTTTAAAAATTTTTTTAATTGACATCCAGAACAGATTATTATATTGTACAACAATACATTTTAAAAAATTGAATATAAGACAGAAATTGCCTATATATAATACTATAATACAGTATATAATTTTCAAAGAAACGGAAAAAGGATATAAATAAATAATTACCGTTCGACAATGTTCTATTGACTGAAGGTGATTGTGACATCCTATGGGGTGGCTGGGGTGGCACGTTGGAAGGAAAAACAGGTACCGCGACTTGAGGCACCAAGAGATTCGCTGGTGGAGAAACTGCAGGCGATTGCTTTGATTCGATAGCGGATTTTGGTGGTCCCTCTATGCCCTCATCATTAGCATTTTTCGCTACTCTTCTCGCCATTCGTGGACTACGAATCTGCGAGAGATCTAATTTGCCACCCATGCCCGGAGTATAAGTAAAAGGTTTTTTGTCCTTCGTTAGCATTGCATTCTGAATGGCTGCTGGTGGTTCATAAACATCGTTGCTAACTACTTGCGGCCTCTTTGCTGTGGCGTTCTATATGCGAATCAAAAAGTGTCAGATAAGTTATTATTAACTACTAATTAAACAATAATGAGAGACTAAAGTTAAGACTAAATTTTCACTGTTACAGTAAAATATATTTTTTTTCATAATGTAATGGGTTTAACATTTTACTATAAATATTTATTTCAATTTATTTCTTTTAAAATAATATATATATCAATATATTGTATGTTGTATTTTAACTTTTCAAATAATTTTCTCAAAATATAATAGAATATTTTAGAATTGTATTTAATACCAGAGAAAATTTAAATAATTAACTTCTTTCTTGTATTTGTGAAAAAAATTATATTTATAGAATTCTATTTAATAAATGAATCACGTTATCATTCTATTGATTCTCGTTATATGTTACGATTTCATCTTACCTCGGCAGTATTTATCCTCATAGCTGGCAAGTGACCAGACACAGGAGGTGGAGGAGGTGGCGGTGGAGGTGGACCTAAAATCATATAAATTATGAGTAATACAATATAATATAAAGAATAGAAGGAAGTGATATAATAGAAAGAAGTGATATAATTAATTAATTAACATTTTCTAATAAACTTATTAAAATGTAACTTTACTAATGTTTATTTGAATTTTAATCCTTATTCATTAACCTTAAGATCTGATGCCTGATGCAATATATTTTTTAAATTTAAATTTATTTTATAATTTCTTTTTGCTATAAAAAGAAATGTGACATGTGTACATACCTGCAACCATGACACCCGGATTTCTGTAAACAAAAATCGAACAATTCAATAATTTAAATAAATTTGGTAATTAAATAATTTGTTTCTTAGCTAAATATATAATGGAAACCACTTTAGCAGTTTTGGATAAACAGAAATGTCAAATGTATCATAAAATAACTTCTTCGCAAAATCAATATTTATGTACAGGATAAATCAAAGTCGTTGAACCAACTTTTTGTCCTCTGAGCAAATTATCGATTTCGTACCTAATTGAATTATAACGTGTACAGTCAATTATTTTCTGATAGGATAAACAGCTGGTTCAACCACTCTGATTCACTCTGTATAAAACACACACACACACGCACATACACACACACACACACACACACACACACACACACAAAACCTGTACTTTTAATTATTTTAACTTTAATACATTTTTCTTTTTAATTAAAAATATATTTTTTTAACGCAAACTGTAATTTTGCTATAATTTGAACACATTAATCAGTTTATTCAAATTAAAATCTGCTTCTTACGCAATACAACATTATGATGTATTCATAATAAAATAAAAATTATTTTTTCGTGATATGTTGTTTTTTCAAAAATATACATTTGGAAGGAATAATTAATCTAGTCTTCTTCGTTTGCATGAGACATTGCTATCTTATCACTGGAATGCAACTACTTTAAAGATGACTCATCTTGTGTGTATTCATACTTTGCGCACGTACGTACATTTACATTTCATACATACGTTTAAATTTAATTTATAATTTAATGTAACTTATTAATATTTATAAATATACTAATTGTAATAATTGCAATTAAGAAAATAAACTTGAATCTTATAAATACAATCTTTGGTCTATTTTAAGAAATCATTAATCCATATTGTTCTCAGAGCACGTATATGTAAAATTATCGTGATAATTAAATTGGGAATACAAGAAATACTTAATAAGTCGCTTATATTTTTTCTGTCGATCAAAAACTATGTACACTCTGACGAAAGTTGATTAAAATGTCTTTTAGGAAAACACGGTCAGACATTTCCTTAAAAGGATTAAATAACACTACTGGAATCACAGTGCAATTGGAAGATATCTCGCAGTTGTGTAAATGTAGGTCGTTATACAATATCGACAATATTACTATCGAAGAATTAAGAAAAATAATTACAAATAATTTCTAAGATTCTTATACATACACAAAATAAGAAAAAAATTGCGAATTAAATATAAAAATTTAGTTTCCTTAGACTTATAATTAGATTTATACTTGCTTAAGTTCAAAATTATATATTTTGTTGATTTATTTTTAAACTATGAACTCAATGCGATTTCTACGTGAATCATGTTAAGTCTTAATAAAATCTTGTAAAGAAAAATAATATGATAATAATTGAATAAGAGATAATAATTGAAAAAAAAATTTTTTATAATAAAATATATGTAATAGTAGTCTTTATATATGTAAATTTGTCAATAAAATATTCAATAAAAAATCTAACATGAAATTCATATTAGCAAAGTATAACAAAAACAAATAGTACATAGAATGCATTAATTTCATTAGTTATTGTATATGTAAATAATTCATTCAAGAATTAAACAAAACTCTTCTCTAGCAATGAATAGAAGAAACTGAAAATTTTAATAATAGAATTTTGGAGTCAAGTCTAATACTGTGCCGGAACGCAGGCGTTTTTATCTTGGCACAACCAGTACAGCACGTGACTCTCACTTTCAGCAGATTCATGAACGCTTCGTTGAAAAAGATAGTGCTTCTTGTGGAAAATTTGCCAACTTCTTCTACGTTACTTTGACATAAATAAACTATTCACGATATACTATATCGATCTTGTTTTTATCAGTACCGGTGACTAATACAATTATTATAAATAAATGTTTGTTTTTAATTTTTTATTTTAGCCATCATAAAATTCATCTGGTATTTTAGTAATTTCTTGCACTAATAAATTTAAAAAATTTCCCAAAATTAAAAAAAAATTATCATTTGTAAAAATCTTCTAAAAAGAGTTGATTTAGTCAAAAATATATTTTTCTTATTCTCTTCTATATCATGTTATCACAAATTATGAAAAGTATTATTTTCTTAAAGTATAAATTTCTCAGAAAAGTTCGGTCATGGAGAATCAAATCGGTCATGCTGATGGCGGCCACGCCGTAACGCTCGGAACCCAGCCAATAAGCCGCAGCAAGTAGAAATGTATTTAGGTAGATACACGAGCGAGAATAATTTTAGCGCGGACTTGCGCAGTGGAGTTTCGCACATTAAACATTTCGAATCATTTTATTTTTAGGATTTCTAACATCACAGCAAATACACGATAAATGTGCGATCATCTCACAATCGATCGTATTGAATGAAGATACTTATCAAATTCAATCAAGAGTTGAGAACTTGAACCTGAAAAACGTATACATTAACCGTAAAAAAATTAAAATTCTATTGTTAGTAACATAAGAGAATATTATTGTAAGTACCTATAACCAACAATCCAAACGATTTTATTTTTATTCAAAAAAGATATTCATTTAACTAAAATGTTCACCAAAGTGTACACGAGGCATTGCACTCAATTGGACGTAAAAATGCGCCGACTTGCGAAAAAGCTACGCTTCAAGTCAAATCTTTTTGTTGAACGACATCGTCTCTTGACGATGAAATATGTGTTCTCCTTGGGACTCACGACAAGACCGATTTGGCCTTGCGACGCTCGACCCATTGCACGACAATCGAAAAACGAGTTCCATCTCTGATCCTTTATTCTTCCGCGAGGTCTGTCTCTCTTTCAAGTTTTTTTGTGTGTATATGTCGATAAAACATAAACATAAAGATAAAATAATTTTTATCTTTTAATACTGACTGACAATGATGACTTCTAAGATATTTTAAAATTGTAATCATAATTTCAACGTATCAGTATTAAATTGAGAATAATTCAACTCGATATTAGATTACAACGCTTGAACTTAATATTGACTGTAAGAGACTAGCAGTTTTAAGTCATGCTTGTCCGGTCTTTCTTTCTTTTCTAACGTATATTCGTTCTTATTGCAATAAATAAATGCGCTACGGTTACATTTTTTATTTATGGAGTGATCCGGAGAGGCAGAATCACGCGTATTTCAATGATGAATAATTTAAAAGAAACGATGATCTTACCCGACAAATGTCGAAGAGTTCATATCCAAGATAATTTCGTAATTCACTGATGTTGATTCCGCACGCTGGCTTATGCCGCTACTCACTAGCCGAGAAAGAGAGAAAGAAAGAGAGAGAGAGGGGGGGGGGAAGAAAAAGAGAGAGAAACCGGTTCTCTATACTACTTTTGGGATTCTAAAAGTTGGAGGAGAAGGCGGATATTAAAAGGGATACGAGCAGCTCCGATGCCGACACTAGCGCGCGCCCGCAGCTACTACAGACCGTCGTCGTTTCGAATCGCTTGGTGCTCAGACCTGGTCGTGACTTTACAGACTGGCACGCAGAGCTGACGATGTGACTCCACGGTCTTACATCTTTACCGATTTGATCGCCGCATTGCGTTGCTCTCGCGCTGGTCTGGTCATCGCGCGCCGACCGTCTTTCGCCGCTCGCCGTTCGCCGCTGCTCGCCAAAATAGCTCGATTCTATTTTAAGATCCTGATATATACAACGTATTTCCTATTATTCATCAGGTACCAAAAAGTCTCAATCTGCTTGGCATTGATTCACATTAAGATCATTGTATTTTATACATGTATATTAAAAATACGTATATTAAAAATATAATAGACAGTATGACACTGTCCCTAAAAAGACATATAATTTCAATTTGGAATTAAAATCTGATTCAAATTCTTTTTTTACGACATAGTAATAAATTTTTACTGTACATTATTTTATAGCTTCTTTTTACAAAATTTTTACAGATTTCGTAAATACTTTTTTTTTTATTCCGAATACAAAATATAAGAACCATGAAAAACAGCTTCTAGATTATATAAAATAATTCTAAACTTTAAATGTTTTCATGTGGATAAGAAGTGGGAATATAAAATAGAGAAATTCATATGAAAAATTGAAAATTACAAACACAAAGATATTAAATTTTAAATATTTCGCTAGTATCATCAAGTCTGTTCTTACGACTACTAATTTTACAACCGATTCTACTATATGTTCTATAAAAATTATTGTGATATTTAAATTCATGACACCCTTACGATGCAATGTCTTAGCAAGTTATAATATGATAGACTGAATGATTACATTGCATCAACAAAAATTCATTTAATTAAAAATATGAAGTTATATATACTCAAATAAACTCTAAATATTATAAACTAAATAACAATGAAGGTATAATTATTATAAGGCTAATATTCTCAAGTACAATGGAAATGCTTAAACACAGCATCCTGAGAAATTTCTAACTTGAAGATAAAAAATAACCGAACATGTAATGATAAAAGGAAGAATAATGGTGCCAATCCTGGTGAAAATTTTTTCTAAAAATTTCATTTAATTTTTTAGAATGTCCACATATAAATTTCTAAAAGAATTTTTCAGATTTCCTATATAATTTTATAATATTTTAGAAAATTTCTCACCTAATTTCTTCTATTCTAACCTAACAAATTGGAATATTTTTCAAAAATGCTAAAAAGGTCTACATTTTTTTCTAGAATTCTTAATACATTTTGAAATATTTTAAGTTTTTTCATTCAATAAAATTTCCGAAGAATATCTTTAATAAAAAAGTTTAAGGTATTTTTCAGAAATCTTCTAAATTTATAATATTAAATTTACTTAAAAATATAAAATATGAGAACTATTTTCACCAGGAAACAAACACCTCGATACAATTTAGCGCTGATCATGGTCAGAAGCTACAATCTCATCAAACGCTGCTTCATGTTCCGAGGTGGTAAACATGTATGCTGGTAGAGTTAATCTAAGGACCTTGTCGTATTTGGCTTTTGTTTCCGATGTATAATCGTACGGTTCAGCTTCCTTCGTTTCCTCTGCGGTATGCGACGCCTCATCGGGATAATCATTGTCCGGCTTCTCCAGTCTAACATATGAATTTTTGCTAGCGGACGTGCTGGGTTCCAAAGACTCTACCGCTTTCGTTTTCGTCGAGCTTGACGGTTTGAAGTCGCTCGGGGCGCGAACTCGGGGCACGGAATCAACTTGAAATTCTTTCGTTTCGTGAAATACGAGCTGATCCTTGTCAGGCTCCTGCCCGGTAACAAAAGCGCATTCCTCTTTCTGAAAACCCTTGTCGTCGATACATTGGTAGCAGGTCATTTTATCGCGCATAATCTTTTTACAATTCGATCGATCCTCTTTCTGAAACTTCTGCATAAACTCCTCGATCTCGGCCTTCTTTTTCACAGTGTCCAAGTATCCAGCGTCCACTCCTTTCTTCCCTTCCGCATCATCCTTAGATGTTGCTTCATCCGTCGATGAAGCTTCGTAAGTTAGTCCAGGAACGTATTTGTCGTAAGACTTCTTCGTAACTTCAGAACTGTCTGATGGGTGCTCGTCTTCGTGCGATGTTTGCTCGGATTTCTGTGGATTGCCAAATGAGCTGGATTTACTGTAAGAAAAGAGCTTATCCTTGGGTTGATACGAGTATGAACACTGTTCAAAATCATTGCCTGTTTGCGGATCCTTGCAAACCTTGCACGTCATTGAGTCCTTCTGTAAAGTTTTACAATTATCCTCGCTGATATTTTCAGAGTAATTCTCCGAAACAGGTTTTGAGGAAGATGTCTTTTGGCCATCATAAGATTCAGGATTACTATTATATGAAGGAAATTGGTAATCACTCGCTTCGGAACTGGAGTAATCACTGCTATACTCGGGTGTATCGTGAGATGTACCGTCAGAATCATTCGGGACTTTTTGAGCTTCTACTTCTCTGTTGGATTTCCGTGGATAAGTAGAGTGTTCTGATTTATCTGTGCAAATATAATTAAAATATAGCCAATACATTCTCTAAAGAGATATCAGTAAAAAATTTTTTTGTGATTTGTAACTCAAATAACTCTGGTACTGTACACTTCATTTGTTATATTATGCTGTAAAACTCAATTTTTTTAAAGAATATAGAAGCATCTTTAATATGCTCTCCAAAATTAGACACACAATAACAGAATTTAATCAAAATATATATATCCAAAGAACATAATTTTAGGGTAAAAAGTTCCAGTACATTGCATGTCATAACTGTATTTATATAAGGCACTTAATAATAACTTTTTCTTGCTAGAATTTTAATTCTCAACACTAAAAGTATTAAAAAATTTTTGAAATTAGAACTAAACTTAGTATTAAAATAATTATATGGGATATTATTAGAAAATAAATGGCTGCATTTAAAGTTAGTCGAGCAGTTGAATGTGATTGATTGGATCTATAAGTAAGAATCATGTTTAATCATTCAAAGAACAGGCTATTCTATCAGCTTGAAATCTTACCTATATAATCAGGCGCAAAATTGGAACTTTGCGGATAATCAAAATTCTTTGATTTTTCTGATGCTTGACTCTTGTTTGAATCCCGGCTGTCCCGAGTCGAATCTGAGGATTCAGTCTTATCCGGATATCCAAAGGTTTTTGATCTGCTGTATTTATATAATTTATCGCTGGGTTGATAATTGTAAGTACATTTCTCATAAGTACCGCCTGTCTTAGAATCCTTGCACACTGTACAGGACTTGGAATCCTTTTGTATCTGTTTACAATCTGATGAAGGAGCATCCTTCACTTCGTCCTGTTCGTTTATTGTCGAAGCCTTCTCGGAATAATCCTCGCTAGGATAAGAATATTCACGAGACTCAGTGCTTGGACTATGATCTTTTTGGTGATCAGACGCTTCAAAATCAGAAACTTTGGAATGAGAAGTTAACTCGGGACGTTCGTTGTTATTTTCTTCACTTTTTTCAGGTTTTCCAAATGTGCTGGATTTGACGTAAGAATATGCTTTCTCATGTGGCTGCTTTACATACGAGCACTGCTCATATTTGCCATTGGTCTTAGCATCTTTGCACACCATGCACACCATAGAATCTTTTACGATCTTATCGCATTTTTCTCCCTTGTTTTCATATGCAGCTGGTACGTCATGTGTAGCGTCAGTAAAATACTCATCAGTAAATCGGTAAGGATTTCGTAGTTTTCCGTAATTATTGTTTTCTTCATAATTGGATCTGAAATAATAAATAATAATAATATGACATCGTAGCATGTAATGAGAAAATTATATAATCTGTACAAATTTTATTTTAATTGGTGCAACTTTGTGATATTATTTCTCTTTTTAGAAAAAATAAATTAAAATAGAAAGATACAATAAATTTCTTTTTGATATTTTTTATTTAAAATTATTTTCTTCTTTTTAAATCTATTTATGATAAAATATTTCCTTAAATATTCTTTAAATAATTCTAAGTTAACTATACTATTTTTAAATCTTTTGCCATTAAAAAGAAACGTTATTTTTTCGCGTTTAATTGAAGTACGTCTCACTTTTTTCTTTTTTGAAAAATATATCTATAGTTCAAATAATGGATAAAAGAACGTATTATTATACGATCGTATAAACATGAATATTAAAATTATTAAAATTGCCTCTCTTTAAAGTATAAATATTAAATTTTAACAAACTTTCAATAAATTGTCGAGTGTAATATTTATATTTGTGTTCGAAGAATACTTTAATATCGCTACCTTCGATATCTGAACTTAGTAGGTGTGGGTAAATAATTTTCCACCTTCATATTAGCGGATACACTCTCTTCCGGATGACTGCTATATAAACAACGTTCATACGTGGATTTAGTTTTTGGATCCTTGCAATTGTAACAAGTCGTAACGCCTTTCCTTGGTTCACCATCCTTTCCGATTGATTTCACTTTGATTTCTTGACAGTGCGCTACTCCTAAATCAGGAGTCAATTCCTTGTATCTTGTAGAATCTTTATTAGAGAACACATAAAATGGAATTTTTTTCAAGTATTTTTCTTCAATAGGTTCTTTTTTCGAAGTAACGGGAAAAGATTCAGATGGGCTTCCAAAACGATCTATAGGTCGATCTTTGCTCAATTCATAAAAACTGTAATCAGGCAGAATCTCAGAAGGAGCACTTTCATAAAAGTCATACTGATTATTCCAAGAATGCGATGTGCTCTCTGATGGATCCCAATTTTTCAAACGTTCATAATTTGCACTTACATGACAAGTAATTAGAGCTGATAACGTTAAATATATCTGCAAATGTATAAGAAAATATTTATTTATTTATTTAAATAACAATAACAATAAAAATATTAATTTTGTTTTAGTATAACAATAGTATATGTCTAGATATTATAATAGAATATCCTTCAAAAAAATAATCCTTGTATTTTATCTTTATTTTAAATAAATTACAGCTTTTGATATTCTTTATAGCATTGAGGAATTAGAGCTTTGAGGTCATATAGAAGTCAAAACTTATTTGAAACAAGAAATAGAAAATAATTAAAAAAATTTTTATAGTTTCATCTTCTGATTGTATTTTATATTAAAGATTTTTTTT